ACCCTGTTCGAATGATTAAGGCCTCAATAGTAGCCTCCCTGCATCCCAAAACCTCAACCCCAACGCTTAGGGATCGAGGGTTTGAGGTAGCCTGCAGCCCGAAACCCTAACGTCAAACTTGCCCCGAACCATCAGGGCTCTTGGCCCCAAGCCCAATATAAAAGCCTCAGTGTTTCGGGCTTAAGGTTGTAATCTTATCTCCTCAGAGTCCTACTATGACTTCAGTAGAATCTGCACCGGACAACCCCATTCAAAGATATTTAGGGCCCCAGCGCAGGGAGCTTGTTCTGGGAAGGCTTCTCCACGGGCGTGAGTACGAGACCACTCTCATGGAGAAGCTGAGGCTCTCGGATCATGTGCCCAGAGATTTTGGAGAGCTGGCAAAAGGCCGCTGCTGATCACGAAGCCTAGTTTGAATGTCCGCAGTCGCTTCACTCGCAACCCATGGTGGTGAGTGTGGCCCCAGCAGTTTTCTTCGCCTAGACTTCATGGCCTCAAGGGTGCATGATGGTTCGCGTGCTGATTGAAATTAAGCCACAGGCATCTCCACTCGAAGCGTGACGGGTGTGGCGATTTCTGGCTGAGGACGTCCACGTCTGCGTGTCGGCCCAGCATTCCTGCTACATGTAGGCAGCAGAAACTATCTCAGCTGGCCACGCATCTGTCGAGAAGGCGCGTCGACTTCGGAGTCTCAAAGCTGGCGCTGCCACACGTGCCTTTGATGGCGCTGTGTCTTGGACGCAGTCGATACCTCGAGCCTCGAGGCTCTGAGCACTGAGTCAGACCCTTGTGTTCGATGGCTGCTGTTGCAAAGTTCTGGTTGAACTTCGTCTGAAATCCGAGTCCTCGTGCAGACCTTGCTGCGCGAAGCGAAGGGTGCGGCAACGATATTGTGTAATTGCTGTTGCTGCGACGCTCAGCTTGCTCGTGGTGGGCGTGTTCGCACCATACTCATCCTTGCTTGCACAACGGCATTACTGCCTGTTTCCGGCTTGAAGTTGGATTCGCGAGATCAGAAGCAGATGAACTTTCCACGAGGTCAGGCTCGTGTCAAGAGGCGAAAGTGGCTTGGCATCGCGTCTGCGAGATTCGAACCTCCTTGTGCGATGGAGCATCTTTCGCACCGGCTGTCAAGCTCTGTACTTAAACCAATCGGCAGGCAGCACAGACAGCGTGACTTTGGTCGGTCTTCGGTGGACATCAGTCTGGTGATGCAGCGGCCTGGTGACACAACGGCGTGGTCCTGTGTAGTTGCTGCGAAGATGCAATCCAACTTCGCCACGAGAGTTGCATGTGTCAGACATGCACAAGTGTTGTTTCCTTCTGAAGCGGTTTGTTGGTGCGCGGACCCCGTGCAAAGATGCTCGGGTGCTGCCCTAGCTCCCATCTTCCCTGGCACACTATGCACGCCGTGTTTTGGAATCGAGCTATGCTGACAATTTCGAAGCTGCTGCTGGCTTGCATTTGGCAGCATGGACAGCACGAATGTTGGCTGCATTCGAAGATATCTCGCAACAAATCAGTATCCGGGCCAGGGTGTTCCACAGATTTCTGCTTCAGTGCAAAGCGACCTCGCCAAGCGGCGTCCCGTCGATTGGATGTGTCACTGGTCTTTTGTCCAACAGCTGCCTGGTGCGGAGGCTATGCAGAGCCAATGATGTACATGATATGTGCAGTTTATTGTCTGAGCGCAAGCAGGAACTCTTGTGACGGGCCTCCCCATCTTTCCAAAGCCGTGACGTGCTGCTGAGCTCGCGTTCGGATGGGGGTTCGTGGTGCCAACTGTGTAGGCATATCCTAGTGTGCACGGAGAAAGGCCTGTTTGTCTCGGCCGTCCGTGAAAGACTGGTGTTGGCAGATGTTGATGTTGCGCTTCTTCGATGCGGTTGTGCTAGGTTTCCGCACGAGACAATGAGGTATATCAAAGGCTATTACAGTAGAGCATGATGCACGATTGAATTAGCACCTGTGTCAGGTAGGTGCCCGAAGCCAGACACGGTGACCATGCTTCCCTTCACATTTATCTGAAGCCTTGTTCGGTTCTCACGACGCGAGCCATGCGGGTTCGTCGGGTAGCACTGTAATCCGGCCTCTAGCCGTAGCCACCTGCATCATCGCTGTAGGACATTTGCCGTGCATGACTTGCAACGCCGAAACATTGAACCTTGCTTGTGCGGGAGCACCGATAGGTGGGTAGCTCATGCAGACCGGCGGGCCATGGAGCATCTTTCGCACCAGCCGTCAAGCTCTGTACTTAAACCACTCGGCAGGCAGCACAGACAGCGTGACTTTGGTCGGTCTTCGGTGGACATCAGTCTGGTGATGCAGCGGCCTGGTGACACAACGGCGTGCTCCCGTGTAGTTGCTGCGAAGATGCAATCCAGCTTCGCCACGAGAATTGCATTGGCCAGACATGCACAAGTGTTGTGTCCTTCTGAAGCGGTTTGTTGGTGCACCGACCCCGTGCAAAGATGCTCGGGTGCTGCCCTAGCTCCCATCTTCCCTGGCACACTATGCACGCCGTGTTTTGGAATCGAGCTATGCTGACAATTTCGAAGCTGCTGCTGGCTTGCATTTGGCAGCATGGACAGCACGAATGTTGGCTGCATTCGAAGATATCTCGCAACAAATCAGTATCCGGGCCAGGGTGTTCCACAGATTTCTGCTTCAGTGCAAAGCGACCTCGCCAAGCGGCGTCCCGTCGATTGGACGTGTCACTGGCCTTGTGTCCAACAGCTGCCTGGTGCGGAGGCTATGCAGAGCCAATGATGTACATGATATGTGCAGTTTATTGTCTGAGCGCAAGCAGGAACGCTTGTGACGGGCCTCCCCATCTTTCCAAAGCCGTGACGTGCTGCTGAGCTCGCGTTTGGATGGGGGTTGGTGGTGCCAACTGTGTAGGCATACACTAGTGCGCACAGAGAAAGGTCTGTCTGCCTGGGCCGTCCGTGAAAGACTAGTGTTGGCAGATGTTGATGTTGCGCTTCTTCGAGGCGGATTTGGTCGACTTTCTCAGCCTGCTGTGCCATACCAAGAAGGGATCTTTGTGTTGAAGTCCATTAGCGAGGCCGCAAAAGGTTTGAAGCAGCACTTGCCACCTGCGATTCACTGCGTTCCGTGTGGCTCGTAGCAAGGACGAGTCCTCGGCAGCTGCAGACATCTAAATAATTACCAATACTGGTTTGGCGGTTCCATGCTATAGTTATAGCAAGTGTGCCCCGAAACCCTATTCTAATTATACCATGAAACACTCTGCTTGGAGCAGTTCTTTTCCAGGCAGCCAGCGCCATCGTTCTTGTCAGACTTCGACGGACATCAGTCTTGTGATGCAGAGGCCTCGTAGCACAATGGCATGGTGCAAGGCCCTTGAGGCGAGATGCAACACAACCTCGCCGTGAGAACTGCATGGTTCACCCAGGTACAAGTCAAGAGGTAGCTACCTCTGCAGTGGTTGGTGCGCTGACCCCCTACAAGGATGCTCCGGCAGTGGCTCCAGCTCCAATTTTCCTTGACACGGATTGCACGAAATGGGCTCTCTTGACACTGGCCAGGCCGCTCTTGTGTTGTCTGGATTCGACGGTATCTCGCAGCGAAGCAGATCCGGGCCAGGGTGGATGTCAGATTTCTGCTTCAGGCCTTACCGTGCAAAGCGACCTACCAAGCGGGGGTCCCGTCGATTGGCCGTGTCACTGGCCTTGTGTCCAACAGCTGCCAGGTGCGGAGGCTATGCAGAGCAATTGATGTACATGATATGTGCAGTCTATTGTCTGAGCGCAAGCAGGAATGCTTGTGACGGGCCCCAAAGCCTTGTGACCTTGTGATTTTGAGCTCGCGTTTGAATCGGGATTCGGGCTGCCCACTGTGCAGGCATACGCTAGTGTGCACAGAGAAAGGTCAGTCTGCCTCGGCCGTCCGTGAAAGACCAGCGTTGGCTGATGTTGATGTTGCGCTGCTGCGATGCAGTTTTGCTCAGCGTGAAACAATGTGTGCGCGAGTTTGGTTGCCTGGCAGCACTTGTTGCTCGAGTGCCACATGCTTGCCTTGCGGAACAGCGCGCCTTTGTGAGGGCAGTTTTTGTCTCTTGCAGTTGTAGGCCCTGTTGGCTCGAGTTTTGACTCGTGGTCTTGCTGCTTGTCGACTGACACGGCATTTGCAGAGCCTATCAAGCAGGTTGCGTTGATTGAGCACAACAGGCTTGAGCCAGCGCGGACTTTGGCATGGGTGGTGACAAGGAGAAAGAATGCAAGCTTGGTGCGGCCAGCATGAGGCCCAACGCCTGGGTTTCCCCGCAAGCCTAGACCGCAACAGTCATTTGCAGAGGCCGTGCTTCATGGTGCTTTTTCCAGCAGCCGAGGCTGTTGTCTTGCCCTACCTTATCCGCATGCTGTAGCTTCAGCTTATGAGTGCTGCTTATACAGGAATGGACGGTCCAAGAGAGAAAGCACAGACCATGCCGGGGAGTGCAGCAAGCATTTTCATGGCACGTGCCTTAGAGTTCAGCTGACCTTCTTCACTGTGGCAAGCTGGCATCGGGCACCGAGGAGAAGCAAAAAACACATGTCCTTGCAGACCGGTAGATTCAACTGCCGCGGTGTAGCATACCTGCATCATGCGCAGCACCCAGCAGACAGTGCTTAAGCAGACAAGGCTTCTTTCCAGCTTCATCTGTACCTTGTTGGCCTGCCCCTTTGTCCGCCGACATGGCAAGAGTCGATATCGAGGCAGCGTAAACTCCCTGGCGCTTTGCAGAGCAGGGACGGTGTGGGAGTCTGCAGTGTTTGTACGTTTCACGCGGGAATTGCTGAGACGTCCCACATCCAAACTGGTGGGCTCGCAGTGTCAAGCCTCTGTTCTTAACGGTAGGCGTGGGGTAGCCCGATCCCAAACAGACATTGGCTGGTCTTTGATTTGCCTAGTTAGCATGTTTGAGCTGGCTGCATCGATATGCTGAAGCGGAGGAGCGCGGAAGATGGGAAGCAGCGAGTTGGTACGGAAAATCCATGGTGTCTTTGGTACGTTTTTCTCACACCTCACACTTCCTTACTGGACCAACCTGGATGCTAAGCTGTGCACGATCACCGGGTGTTGTCAAGTCCACTGAAGAGGCAGTGCAGAATCAGCTTTTTGCCTCAGCCAACATTTTCGTGGCAACAGATGGGGAAAGCAAAGGTGAAGCGTGTGCTGTCGGGCTGGTTGATGCAAATTCAGATCTGTCTTTCCCTTCAGGGGATGGTTCTGAGGGTTCGGAGGAGCAATCCCCGTTCAAACAGGAATTGAGTGCAACTCTGTACACCGCAAAAGACATGACGGAAGGCCATGTTTGTTTCATCGCTGATTGCCAAGCCGCCATCCTGGCTGTGTTGAATCTCATGTTAACGTGTTTTCCAATGCTGGCTGGCTCGCACCAAGGCTCCCAGCTGCGGCAAAGGTCAGTGCATGTGCTCTGGTAGGTACCAGACTCGTGGAGCTACGCAGTTTCTTGCGAACAAACAGCTGTGCACGAGCAGTCCTCCACCAAAGGCCAGCTGACTTTGAGGCAACGCAACAGCAAACCCGAAGCCATTTAAGGTTTAGGGTGTAGGATTTAGGCAAAACCTGTGGGGCCGCAGCTTCAGATGAAGGTTTCAGTCTTTGTGAGGCGATGGCATCAGCTTCGCCGCGGCATCGTTGACAGATGCTGCAGGGTTTCGGGTCCTCTGCCCAGTGTGTGATATTGGGGCATAAAGCATATTATCCTAAACCCTAAACCCTGAATCCCCCTAAACCCTAGCGATCTCGCCAGCCCTTCCGCATCGCTCTGTAGGCCGAGGCGCCACAGTGTCCCAAGCCCAGCGAAGGGTGGCCAGCGCCTGTGCCTAGAAAGCACGACTTTGTCAGCTAGGACGGTTGATTTGGGGCTGAAGACTAGCCGACTACTTCGAGCCTGCTGTCGCAGGATTCGAAGGCACCGAGCTGACATTGCCATGGATCTGCGGCGTACATTCGGAGCACATGATGGGCAGAACGTTGTAACAAACTCGGCTTTAGTTGTGTTGCCTCCACCTGCGACAGGGTTCCGAAGCTCAGTGCTCCTGCGCGCACGCGGAGCTCTGTATCAGAGGGGTCGGGGTCCGCGGTGGTACCGTTTGAAGCGGAAAAGGACATCTCCATAAGCAGGGTCTGCAGGCGACACCCCACAGCAGATCAGAGAATGGCATGCAAAGAGACGAGAAGGACGGCCATGATGCGTCCCTTGCCAGTGGACCAACAAGATGCCTTTTTTGGGTACCAGCATGTGATAGTAAAGAAGGTCGGTTCATGGAGTGTGAGAGCCAGCCGGTATTCATCGCGGCGTGCTTTTCGGACGAAGTGTCGCAGAATTAGCACTGCGCTGCCGTCTGCCTGTACATCGGGACAGCTTCCAAGACTCCACGTGAGTTGTAAGCAGGAGCCGCTAGAACTGAGATGCTGTCTTGGCATGCACGCGCAGAATGCTTTTTGTAGTTTTCCGGGCAGGACGCAACGCTTCACAGGGTCGTAGGCCGGAAGGTATCACCACCCAAGCCTCAGAAACACCTGGGAGAAACGGCTGCGGTGCACAGCATGTAGGGCCTACGGACTAGACAAACATAGTTGAGAATGCTGGCTTTAGCATTTGCAGCTCCAAGCTTTTGGAGTTTGGGGGTTCGACGGTGGAAGGTTTCCGGCCTTTGCGGCCTCCACTGCTGGTGTGTAGCCTCAAGAAATCAATGCGCTAGCAGCCAGCCGCCGCAAGTTGAATTTCAAGAGGACACGTGGCTACTGTCGCGAGCACATGCAACATAGCCCTGGTATGCCATTCCTCTGTTTTCCGTTGTTTTATGTTTTGCGTTCCTCGCTCGGCGGTTTAAAGGTAGCGGGGGTTTGGAGTCTGGGAATGGGGGTAGCCAGATCCAAGATAAGAGCGCTTACAGTCACATCACGACCTCAGCAAGAAAGGAGACGAGTCTTGCGGTGAGTCTATGGAAGGGACGGAAGTCTTGTGATGATGAGTCCATGCTTGGCTTCTGCCATCGGCTTTTCTGTGACAGGGATGAGAACGGCCATTTGTCACGATCTGGTTGGCGCCAGGCTCCGAAGCCGTGTGGGAGTGGACGTTGGACCCAACCGTGGATGTGTGTAAGAGATCGTCTTCGACTAAGCTTCCTCTGCTTCTTCAGGGTTAATTGAAGTAGTTCCGAGTTGTCTTCCTTGGATGCCCAAGTATGTCAGAGTATTTATCCCCCCTCACCATCTGCTGGAAGGCGGACAATCTGGAGCATCACAAGACATGGGAGGATGGCGCACTCCATTCCGGTTAGGATTAAGAAAATAATAGGGACCCATAAGGGTTCCTTTAAGGGATTTATAGGGGCTCCTTTAAGGGATCCATGAGGTTCAGGTGCAGCCTTCTTTTGCGGCCTTCTGAAAAGGCCCACCTTTCTGCTGCCTTGGATGGTGCTCTGCTGCATTGGCCCTTGTCCGCTCTGTCTCTACCGCTTCATGAGCCTTCCCGTCCCTAAACCCTAAACCCTAAACCCGAAACCCTAAGCCCTAAACCCTAAACCCTGTTCATGGTGACTCCGTTTATGGCTCATTCGGTAGCCGAATAGAGCCGGATTGCTGCGCCACCTGAGCAGCACGGTGGCCGACGGTTGAACGGCTCAGGCAAGAGATGAGTCACCTTGTGTTTCGAGTTCCATGAGGCGCGCCAGCTGGAACATAGCCCTGATGTGATGTGTTGTGAATGCGCGAAGCAAAAAGCAGGTCCTGATCAGGCAGTGTCATCTTCCGTTCGACTTGCATTGATTGTTGCATGATTCCCTAAGCCCCCTAAACCCTCAGCGGATTGTGTACTTATGGGCTCCAGTTCTCACAAGCGACGGGCACAAAGCAGGCCCCAGTTGCTTCGGAGGCGGGCAGAGAGACTGTTTGTGTTAAGTTCATATGTATATTTATAGACTGTATGTATTGGCATATTGTCAGGGTTTCCTAGAAGTGGTTCGGGGTTCCAGGTTGGAGCTTAGCCGGTCAGTTGGCTCTGAATTACTTTTGGATGAATTCACTAGGTAGGAATCGTTATTCAGTCGGGTGTTAGCTAGAGCGACGTTGAGTTTTAGATTTCGTGGCTTGAACCACGCATCATGTGTGTGTGCGTGTGCGAGTGTGTGACTCTGTGTGTGTGTGTGTGTGTGTTGAGGTGTGTGTGTATATATATATATATATACACATGTTATGCATATCTACATGTTTCTTTATATGCGTACTCGTATTTACATGCATAGTTACGTTTATGTTTGTATCTAGCAAAATTCTACATACTATATTCTTGTCTGTCTCCGTGTGAGTGTGTCCACGTGTATGCAGATAGCCACTTGAACCCGATACGGAGATGGACGGAAACTCAAGTGCATATGTAAGATATCCACAACTGGCAAGCTACGTGGTGGCGATGCCGTCGCCGAGGTGTACCTGCATTTAGTCGAGGGCAATGCAAGAGCTTGGTGCTGAACCGTACATGGCAACAAACCCAACAAGCCACCGTGAACAAACGAAACTAGTGTACCGCCCTTGCTGGTATAAGCTTCATTCGCCGTGTATTTCAGCGCGAAATTCCGGAGTACCTCGCAAGCCTCTGCTCCAAGCGCTTAGTGCATTGTCTCTCTTGGCTTCGCACCACCAGGCCCCAGGCGGTGGCATGGCAGCTTTCATGTAGCAGCTGCCAGTGCCTTACTCAGGGGCTGAGTTTGGGGTTGAGGTTTCCGGGGTTGCCTCCCTACAGGCTCCACCCATGGGGCTTCAAACTGTCGCAAATTCGATGAGTGTCAAATTCAGTTGGAGTCTCATGCTCATGCTGTTTCAGTGTTGTCTTTCAGAAGCTCCTTGTTGCACTAGTTTCCCGACTCACAAAGGCGCAGTTAAGCAAGTTTGGCAAACCTTGCTTCTGTATGTGTGTGCGCTGTCTAGCCTTTGGATTAGCAATCGTGTCACATCTTTTCACTGTTGAGAGGTTTTAGGAATTTACCTCTGGCTCTGGCAGCCATTGTCACGTTTCTTGCCTTTGACATCCGAGGTATGGGGGCCGACAGCAAGCTGAGTGCAGAGGTTGGACGGGGTTCCTGCAGATGGTGGAAGACAGCAAGCACCACGAAAAAGGACATTGATATACTGTATCATATTACTCTATACCATACTATACTATAATATACTATATGTACTGTACTATACTTGTGGTGGTGGCAGTGCCTCCTCAAGCCGCTGCGTTTGCGAGTGCTGCGTTTTGGGTGCTGCAGCGGCTGCCGAGGATGAAGACAAAAGCAACAAGCTGTGATGATGACGGTGCTGGCACTGTTTGCTGTTGTCATTCGTCCCAACTTTTTACATCATGGTGGGGTAGTGGTTGACATTGCGGATGTTTGCTGGTTTAGCTAGCATTTCGCCCTGGCCATTTCTTCATAGACAGATGCGCATGCCGCAGAAAGAAGGGGTGTTCCTTAGATTGTCTGGAGCAGCCGTATGCCAATCTTGCGTATGGGTAGCTGACGCTTTACCCAGCACCCCAAAACCGCCAAAGCCCCCACAAGGCCGCACATCCCAAGCAACCCTGGCCCCACAGGCCTGAAGCCCCCCAAAACCCTAAACTCAAAGCCTCAAACCCGAACCCCAAAACCTTAAACCCAAAACCCTAAACCGAAAACTCCAAACCCTAAACCCAAAGCCCTAAACGCAACACTCAAAACCCAAAACTCAAAACCCAAAACCCTAAAAACCCAAAACTCAAAACCCTAAACCCTAAACTCTACACCCCTATCCCATAGCCTCTCACCAGGCTGCGGCTCGCTTCGTCCTGGGCCTGAACCAAGGCAGCGCTCTCTCGAGCAGATTTCCGGTTTCCGAAGAGATAGTAATGATAACAAAAGTAATAACGATCATAATCATGAAAATAATGGGAATAATGAGAATAATGATCATAAAGATCATAATGATAATAATGATGCTAGTGATAATAATGAAGTTAATGATAATAACAATAACAATAATCGCAAAAGTCATAGCACTAAGAACAGTACTAGTAATGCAGAGGAGAGGGGCCCGGCGCCCAACGCGAAAGCCGACGATGGATTCCAGAGCTTGTGATAATACTGCAAAGCAGCACAAGACCTTGAAATCCAAGCTACGCCCGCAGCATGTCCTACTTAGAGGTTGACGGGTAGTTCGATTGCGAGGTTAAGTAGGGCTTTTGTAATTTTTACCCATATTAGAGGACATATAACTCCACTTATGATTACTCATGAACCTCCAAATAGACCCTAAACCCTAAACGCCGCTTATAGTTATACTCTAACATACCTCAAAACCCTATGTCCTACATGTCAGGTTACACCAAGGAAGACGTGAAGCGAGCCTACAGGCCGGGCACGAGGATGGAGGGGTGATCGTCACCGCCAGTTGTTGGTGGTTTTTGTGAGTCCAAGGTGTGCGGTTTAGGGATGTGCTTCACCTTCGACCTCCTAAACCCCAAACGATAAGCCCTGAAGCCTAAACTTATCAGTTTTCATTCTGGCGCTGTTCTGGGCAGGGTTTATGCTCGAAAGGCAGCACCTGCATGCTGAAATTTTACATGAAGGCTCATGAAGACCTCAATGTCCATTTTCATTTTCATGCTTATCGTAAAAAGGAGGGCGCCCTTACTAGGACTTAATTAGTTACTTTACAGCAAAGACATGGCCACCTTACCACCATCATCAGCATCATCATCATCACCAGCCATCAAGAAATCAACAGGTCGTCTTACATCATTGCGGAGACATGGAGTTTCGTAGCCAAAGAGGCGTGGAACCCACTGATCCTGGACCCGAACCGGCCCTAACCCAGGATCCCCCTGCTCTTTACTCCAAGCCCCAACATCTGCACGAAGCCTCGACCCCAAAATCCCCAATATTACGCCCCAGAAGCCTTCGACACCGAGCTGTCCTTTGTCTTACCTTTGGTTAGCAGGGAATGGAGGAATGGGGTACAATCACAACTACTATTACTACCATTCTTCCATTCCCAACAGGCGGCTTGCCTTGGTCTTCCATCCCGACAAGAATGCCGGGCAGAATGAGGAAGAGGTCCGGAGGCTTCAGTGTTTAGGCGGGAGAGGTGCAGACCTTGGCGCCCGAAGCTCGACGCGGGTAGCCGGTTTAGGGCTCGTTGTAGATTGTTGAAGGGTTCTTGAGCTTTAGGCGTATGTCGATCTTGATACTGTAGGGGCTGGCACTAGTGGACCAACAAAGCCCCGAGCGAACACCCAAACGCTAGACAGCCCTAAATTCGCAGAAGAATTTGCAACCGTGCAACCCAGAGCCCCGAACGCTTGAAAAACAAGCCCAAACCCTAAGCCCTATCCCCCTAAACCCAAAACCCTAAACCCGAAACAATACCCTCGGCCACCTGAAAGTCTCAGGCAACGAAGCGGTTTCAGTCGATCGCCAAAGCCAAGGCACTGATACGCCAGCTGCGCTAATTGTCTTTGATCCTTTCGGAATGGGTTCTGCAGCGTTGAGGCTGTTTGGAGGCGTTAGTGTCTTTGGATTCTCGGGCGGTGTTATTTGGGAGTTGCCGAAAATTCGGGGTGCCTTATTTTGGGGTCCTCATACTAAGGATGCTACTTGCTAGGGTACTACGACTAGGGTCCCCTATTTGCCGAAACTCTAAACCCTTATAGAGCCCTTTAAAGGAACCCTTAAAGGTACCCTTATAGTAGCCCTTTAAAGGAACCCTTAGAAGGGTCCCCTATTTTCGGAAACTCCCATGTTGAGGTTCAGGTGTTGTTTGCCTTGTTGGGTCGGGTTTGGGGTTGGGGGCTCTCAGGGGTCGGCCGCTTTTTGGATGGGGGCTTCGGGCTCCGAAGCCAGACGATCTCAGATCCGAAGCCCCTTCACCCTGGGGTTGAGGGTTTAGGGTTTTAGGGTTTGGGGTTTAGGATTTAGGGTTGAGGGTTTTAGGGTTTAGAGTTTGGGGTTTAGGATTTAGGGTTTAGGGTTTAGGTTTTAGGGTTTGGGGTTTAGGGTAACTGGACTCTTGCTACGGCTAAGGGATTTGATTTCAGGTGCCACAATTTCTTTTACCTATAGATCCCTAGTATGGTAACTTAAATCAGGCTCCTTAACAAGGACCCAGTAGATCCTAAACTCCAGCCCGGAAGCCTCAACGGCCTAACTGTTTCAAACCTACGAAGCCTCGATGTTCCTAGCTCTTGAAGTTCTAAACGCCTTGCGCCCCAAATCACGAAGCCCGAAAGCACTCCAAGCGCCGAAGAGCCTGTCAGCATGATTCTACACCCCACCACAAAAGTTCCAGACCCTCCAACACCGAAGCATTAAAGTCAAAGCGTCTACAACATCAAATTCCACAGCCGTGACCCCACAGCCCTCGTGCGTCAACCCTAAACCCTAAACCAGAAAGCCCAGAAACCCTAAACCCTAAACCCGAAAGCCTAAACCCCTGTCCCAAAGCCCTAAACGACAAAGCAAGGACTTATTACTCGGCCTCGCAGATCGCTCGGGCGGTCGGCCACCTGGAAATGAAGCTTTCAGATGATCATAAACATATATATATATATATGTATACATATATATATATATATATATATTTATATATTTATATGTATATCTATAGTACATATATATATATATATATATATATATGTATATGTATAAATACATGCATGCTTGCCTCCGTTCACACATGGATACATCCTTTTCCATGCATGCATGGCATATTGGCTTGAAGTCGCTTATGCTTTGCTTTGCGGGGGGGGGGGTGGTACCTTAGCTGGATCTGAAAGATGCTCCCCAATTCCATTGTTGCACCTTCCGGAGTTCCATGACTGTTGCGCTAGATTCCGCTAGATGTCGATCGTGGGGTCAAGGGTCTCAGGGTTTCTTGTCTTCGGGTTTAGGGTTTCGTTGTGTGGCTTGAGGCAGGGTTTTTGGGGTTAGGGTTTATGTAAGGATACAGCTCAAAGTCCTGGGTCCAACCTAAAGCCTAAACCCTAAATCCTGGAAAACAAAGGCAAACTGTTACCCCGAAGCCCTGAGACCTGCAACGCTGATCCCGACATTAGTGGCGTCTCGCAGGATCTGCGGCGAGTGCGGCTCGAGATCTCAATGCGCGTCCGGGGCTTTGCATGTCAGGCTGCAACATCCTCGCGTTATTGGACTTGGAGGTTTCAATAGTCAATAGTTGTATATTTGGGCATTATTGGGCTATAGATTTTGGGGTTGGAGGGTTTAGGATAGTTAGTTGTCATGTTTTATGGGTTGGGGCTGAGTGAAGGCGGAAAGCTTGTACTGGAATGCCAGATGGAGTTAAGTAGAGTCTATGTCTGAGGGATTTTGAGGACACCAATGAGGAAACCCTACTTCATATCATGCATTGGTGCATCTGTGGGGATGTCCTCACCGCAGCATCATGACTACGCAGAGACTCAATATCCCTTGATGTAGGAATATACCTCAAGACATAGTAAAATCCTCAATAGAAGGGCTATTGCAGTCTCTGGGCAGACAAAACCCTGAACCCTAAACCCCTAGTAGTATAGGGTAGGTAACCTTTAACCTTTCTTGGGTAGTATAGCCCCTATATAATCCGTATATCACCAAAAAGGTTGACCTTTAGTTCCCCATGATACCCGACACGTAGGTGAAAACCTTAACCCCTAAACCCTAAATCCTAAACCCTAAATCCTAAACCCTAAATCCTAAACCCTAAATCCTAAACCCTAAATCCTAAACCCTAAATCCTAAACCCTAAATCTTAAACCTTATGAACCCTACAGGGCCAGACGACAGTCGCACTTCCAACCACCGGCTCCGTAGTTGATGGCACCCAAATCTCCAAAACCCCTAAACCCCAGACCCTACAGTGAATCCCAGAAAGTTGGAACATGGGTTTAGGAGGATTAGTGCTAGGATCCCTTATCCTTGACGTTAAGGGCATGAGGATACTAATGTTCCAACTTTTTGGCTTCTACTGTAAACACCCCGAGCGCTAAGCCCCAAAACCCTAAACGGCCCTATACCCTCAAACCCCTAAACCCTTATAGCAAAGATCCTGCAAAGTTTCCATCTTTCGGAAGGGCCCGGAAAGAAGGGGCGGGGCCTCACATGTTCACTCCCTGGCTGAGGCAAAAGCGCGGCAGAGACCAAGACTGGCACTCAGAGTTTCAAGGGCTTCATGGTACTATGTAAAAAAATATATATACATATATAATTGCCTTGTATATAGGTGGAATAGCATATACGGCATGTACTGATGTATGGTATAGACTATACATACAGTGTGTGTATCTATACACAGCAGAATACATCATGTATAGTTTCGATAGATGATGATAAAAGCAAAGAAGAAATGTATGTATATATACACACATACATGTGGCACATACATGTAGCCGTCTGCTTGTCTTCGCACTGCCCTATTCTGATGCTTGTTTCATGCCTCAGGTGACCACGGGTTGCAGATGTTTGCGTAGTTGTCGTGCTACTGCCCTGGCTTGTAACGAGTTTGCCCCTAAACCTTAAACCCTAAACCCTCAACCCCTAAACTATAAACCTTAAACCCCTAAACCATAAACCCTAAACCCCTAAACCCCAAACCCCTAAGCCCTAAACCCTTGAAGCATAAGCCCGAATTTCTAAATCCCAAAAACCGAAGACTGAAACCGCACACACCAAACTGCCCTGAACCTTAGAGTCACTCCTTAACCTGAACCCGAAGATCCTCCACCGAAGCCCTCGGAAGCTCACTGAGACGCCTCAAACATGCGACCCCATTACTATTACTATTACTATTACTATTCCTACTACTATTACTATTACTATTACTAGTACTATTACCATTACAATAACTATTACTATTACTATTACTATTCCTATTCCGATTACTATTACTATTACTAACCTACATCCTAAGCCTTGAACCCCTAAGCCCGCAGGGCGCAGACCACCTACATGGCCGTCTGGGTTTGTGGGGCCTGTCAGGCTTCCATGATGCTGTAAGGCTGTAAGACAGAGGCAATGGATACTTCTCATAACATGCCGGTTCGGTCCTCTTTTTTGCTGGGGGTCATTTTCGTGAGGTTCATATTGTCTGGAAACAGAGAGGTTTGGGTTCCCCTAGGCTTGTGCGGTGATATTGGCTATAGCGGATGCAAACTGGAAGAGACCACCCCAGTGTATTCTGATCTACTTCGTGTGGTGGGGATCTTGTTGTTCAGCTCGACTGCTGGGGTGGATCGGCCTTGTTGAGGGTCGTTGGTAGCTCATAGGGTTCGTTGTGAGTCGGATGTCTGGGTCCTAGAGTTTGAGAGAAGTTCCAAAGCCGTACTCGGATGTTTGCCTGCGCCTCTTCGGCGGTTTCATGACCCTAAACTCCACAAGCCATAGGAGCCCTCTGATTTTTGCGACCTCTCAAATATCTGGAAACCGAGACCGCTGCAAGTCGCAGGATCCTAGTAGGATGCTGTTTCCGGTGGAGGCCCCTGAACTGTAACACCCAGCGGTGTGTGGGACTGGGATGCAGTGTTCACCGGTCTTCGCGGTTTGGGAGTTGGTGGCTTTGAGAGCTCAGGGCTTAGCCTAAACCCTGAACACTACCCGAAAAATCAGGGGATCCTCTGATTCTCCAAATACCAAAGCCCAACTGAGGCCCCCCAGCAATAACCCTATATCCCTAAACCCTCAAAGCGAGGCTGCGAAGCCAAGCAGCAAGGAGCCCTAAAAGGAAAAGCCTGAAGCCTTAATACTCTGAACCCTGTACCCTGAACTCCAAACCCTAAGCTCTAAGCTAAACTCTCAGCTACAAGCCCTAGACCGTAAACCCTCAACCCTAAACCCTCAACCCTAAACCCTAAATCCTAAACCCTCAACCCTAAACCCTAAATCCTCAACCCTCAACCCTAAACCCTCAACCCTCAACCCTAAACCCTAAATCCCCAAAGCCGCAGATGCGGGACCTGGGAAGCTCGCCGGGCTCCTCTGCACGGCTCGGTGGCCCAAAGAAACCATGCGTTTTCGGGAGGGAACTTAGGGTTTGGGGGGGTTTAAGGTTAGAGTTCAGGGTTTAGGGGTTTGAGTTTAGGGTTTAGGGGTTTAGGGGTTAGAGTTTAGGGTTTAGGGTCTGAAAGAGATCAAGAGCAACACTGCCCAGCGCGCCTCTGCACTGGTTTCTTCTCGAACAAAAAAGGCCTGTCGTTGGTCGCGAATCCTGTAATCACTTGGATAGTGCTGAATGAGCGGAGGAGCTTGACAATTCGCACTCCCCCTGCGCTATGCGCACTTCAAGGAGCTCATTCACACTTCAAAAGAGTTGGTGATTCACAGTCGGAAAAGGTCTTTAAAGAGTTGTGTAGCTCAAGGCCTTGTATCAAAACTGGACAGTGTACTCCACACTCTCACAATCACTCGCTTCACGGTCCTTGGATTTCGAACTCCGTCCTTCCAGTCCATCGGCGGTCGAGCTGACGGGTGGGCCTATCAGAGACCTTCCAGTCCTCCGAAACAGTCTCTAAACCAAAAGGATCTTCGAACCTAGCCAGCGTTCTTCTCCTGCCAGTCAACTGATCATACCGAATGCCCTCGGGCATTCCAGACGGTCCAGGCAGGTAGAGCTTCAGGCGAGGTTGTGCATGGAACCTCACGGCCACACTTCTTCTTCGATCCACATACCAAAAATCCTTACGAACTCGAGGTGGGATTCGTTGATGAAAATTCGCTTCAGGTCCTCCCCACTCTGGTTCAGGATCCCACACAGCTCGCGGAGGTGTTCTCAAAAACCATCCAGGAAAGATGACAGGAATGTGCGATGCAGAGGCCTTGGGCTGCAAAGCGGACTGCAGCTCAGCCTCGGCGTCGTCTTGGGCATCTTCGGTCGTCGCTTGAGGTTCGTCGTCGAGCGTAGATCCGATCGTCGTTCGAAGATTCGGCTTCTCGAACAACTCAGCAGCAAAATCAGCATCGCCAGTGAAGAGTCCATCATCAGCAAACTAAGCCAGGTAGCCAAGGGGTTCATCGCCTTCACTGATCGGAACGATCCCAGCAGTACTGCTAGTAGCCAGTCCTCCACTTGCAGCCCTCGCTCCTTTAACCGACCTCCTCCAAGAGTCGTCGTCGTCAAGGGAACCACTAGGGCGATGAGGGACCGGGCTGGTCAAGTACCTGGAACCACTCCCAACAATATCAGACACAACCAATCCAGTCTCGTCCTGACTTGGTCTGTCGTCGGGGTGCAAGGAACCTCTAGGGACTAGGGGCGCAGGACCGGCGTACCCACCACCACTAACCCTCTTCCTCAAACCAACCTCGTAAGAGCTAGAGCTATACACCCTAGAAACCTCGTCGTCATCCTCGTCCTTGTCTGGGCCCTCAGGCTCAGACTGAACATGTGACCATTCACTTGACGTGTCACTGGACTCCCTCACCGCTCGGATCCTTGGGATATGTTGCATGCACTTCCAAGTTGCCAACACAGTCAAGCCAACCAACAGGAGTGCACCACATGCAAGCTTCAACACGCTGATGTTGTCCTCGAGCTGAACACGTTCCTCTGGCTCCAGTTCAATCTGAACCTTAACAAGCTTCGACAATGCACCATGCAACAGTGACGCAGCCGTAACAGCCTTCAATGCTTTTTCAGCTCCCCCGGAAATCACGTTTCCGGAGCCAACACCACTTTCGGCTTTCGTGGCCTTCTTCACTGCGTGCGACTCCCCCCCATCAACACTTGATGGCACGACACTCACGTTCATCATCTTGAGTAGTTCCTTGACGCGTGGCCCCACAAGAGCTTTCGTACAAAGGTCACCCAACATGAATTGGCCCGGCGCATGATATACCCGGAATTTTGAGTATTCCAACTGTTCTAGAAACCATGCTGCTTTCAACCGTAAATGTCTGGTCCTCCATGCACCCTGTGGTAGAGTCAATACCGTACATGCGCCAACATTATCAGTATACAAGAAGGTTTGCTGAGGAGCCTCCGCCAATTCTGCAAGCAGTCCATGCAGTCCTTCCGCAAGAGTCATCCCATCTAAGGACGATTGCAGTTCTGCTTCCGCCGTGCTGAGACTAGCACAAGGTTGTCTCATTGACATCCATCCCACTGGAGCGTTGCCCCACATCAGAATGATTCCAGTCTGACTACGATCGGTGCCAGGACAAAAGCTAGCATCAGCAAAGACCTCAATCAAGTTGAAATCCCTCTCAACCGGCAACTGGTTTCCAGGTCCATGCCCCTTTCCAGGTAGCCCATAAACCAGTTCTTGATCTTTTGTTGCCCTCAAATATCGAATCATATCTTCACCCCGTTGGATTGCCTGATCGACATCACGAGTGACCAATTGGCCAATCCTGCTGACCCCAAAGACAAGATCAGGCCTGGTGCGCGTTGCGACCCATAGCAGTTCGCCTACAATGGATTGCGCATTGCGAAGCTTCTCAACCGAGTCCTGAGGTTTGCAATCGCTGTTGTCATTCTCCTTGGCATACGGGCAACTCACAGTGCCTTGGACCTCAGGATACTTATCCAACAACGTCTGAATGTACTTCGATTGGCCAATGTGGATCCCATCGGATTTCTGCTCGATCTCAAACCCACAAAATGTGATGGCATGCCCCTGATCTGCATAGTCTGGCTCGCTGATCCTCCACTTCGCCTTTATGCCGGACCAAACAGCCTCCGATGCTTCTGCCGTTCCAGACAGTAGCAAATCGTCGACGTAGATCGTAAGGGCGGCTATAAGCTTAGAAGATTCAGGGCAACGTAACAACCAAAGATTCGGGTCATACTTGGACTGCTTCAAGTAGGTGGTCTGTCCGTTGTACACAATGGGAATGGTCGGAAGTGTCTCATCTCGGTACACCGCCCAGTCCGCAGGGCTATCCTGCAAACCGTACAATGCACCAGTGATTTCCCAGTACTCTCCTTCAGCAACACATCCTGCCTGCTTGAGAACAGTAGGAGGGCGCAGGATGATTCGCTTGTTTTGCTGACGCAGTGGCGCCAGCAAAAATGCTGTTCTGATGTCGGCACCTGAAGTGCGCCATGCCTCGGTGTGAGCTCGATGCCCTGCTGCACGTAAGTGACACCTCAAGCTCAGCGAATCAGCTCCACCTGCGTAACACTGGAGCTTCCGATCGCGACTCTTTGTCTTGGAACCCTCAGCATAATTGCCACAAGCAACTACACGGCATTTGTGACGTCCACTTCCTCCCTTCTTCTGAAACAACGCCTTCGACGGTATAATCTCTAGAATTTCCCCAGCATCTTTAAATGCCTGAAGCTCTGACTCACTTCGCCGACGCATTGCTTGATGAACATCAAACACATTCCCTAACTCATCACCAATGGAGCCCTTCCAATCCTCAAGGTTTCTCAAGACCTCCTGATGCGACACTGTGATGGTTTGAAGTGGTTGCGCAGGTTCAGCTTCCCAAGCACTCGGATGCACAGGTTCCCCATGAGGATAGTTCCGAGTTTTTTCATTCCCGACTCCCCCGGACCCTTGACTCGGGTCCTCTTCATCATACAGACCAAACCAGGGTTGCTCATCAGACTCTACGGGGTACGGTGGGGACGAGGGGACTCCTAAGCTCTTAAGCCTAGCTTCCAGGACTACCTTTTCATCCGAGCTCACATTGCCTGATTTCCGTAGCTGTTCCGCATCTTGCCACAACAGCCAATGCTCAGCATCCTCTATCCATTGATGAATGTCATTCAGTGGCCTGGTCAAAGCCTCCCAACCCTGACTCGCAGCTACAGTGACTTCCTCCTGCATGTGTTTGTGTTGTTCCAACAGAAACTTCCGAAGAACAACATGTTCATGAAGCAACTGATCTAGCTCCGCCTCATCAAGACATCTCTCGACGAACATTGATGTTCCACCCTGACTATCCTCAGCACATGGACGCTTCTCGGCAACTGGACTGTTCTCGGCACGTGACCCGCTCTCGGCAACTGGACTGTCCTCAGCCGCATAAGAATTCCTTCCCGCATGCGGTGGCAGCGGAAACTCGCAATCTCTAAGCAGCTTTAGGTTGACTCCTACTTGGGTTCCATATGCGTAGCTTCCAAGCGTCCACCCCTTAGCCTCTGTGGCTTGTAGATCGCACTGGCGAGTCTTCGGCTTCCACTCAAAGAGAGACTTCGACAGCAGACTCTCAACATCTTCACGTGCAATCATGTTGCCCCGGCTCAACAGCTCAGCAGCTACTGCCTCACTTTGATCCAAAGTGTAGCTCTCACCCTGCCACACTCCACAACCGACACAACAACCCTTCTCATTTCTCTGGCTTTCTTCTTCACACACACTACACACACACGGCTTCCCCCAAAGGTTGCACAGTCGCGCTCGGTCTCTCTCACGACGCTTCTCAGGCACCAGGCTTTCAGAGTTGGAAGAATGAGCATCCCGAGCATCATCAGCCTTCTCCCGGTTTGGACCACCCCAAACCGGGAAAACCCGGAAACGAGCATCATCAGCATCATCCGCGTTTCCGGCAGGCCGCAGACGCGCATCATGAGCATCAGTGGCGCTGCTTGGCGGTGCAATAACAGGAACCGCTACCCCAGGATCATGAAAATCTGCGCTGTTGAGTGGTGCATTAAGCAAATTCGCTTCTTTCTTGCCATGACCAACCTCAAATCCAACATCAAAACTACCTTTTTCCAACCCCGACTCCCCCCCAACGCTGACGTGGGCAACAAGTGGCTGTCGCTTCCCTGTGATTCGGCGCGCAGGTGCCGGAGCTGGCTCATCGAGAATCTCCTCAGCCTCAAAGGCAACTTGATCTTTGACATTGCGGTACATAACCGGTGCCACATGAAATTTCGCATCTTCTTCGTCATTACCAGGTATAAGCACCACAGTACAACCGGAGATGTTTGCCGCGGGACACAGTGTGATTCCCGACACAGCCCTGGGAGCGTAAGGAGTCTTGCGACTCCATGCTCTGCTTTGCACCGTGACCTTACTACCAAAAGGAGGCAATGGTCTCTTAGGAGGCTCTGCTCCCAACAGCTGCGCGCTGTGCCGAAACCGTTGCTCAACATGTTGGCGGAGGGCCGAAGGCCATAAGTTCTTCTCAAGCCCTGGAGCGCTCAGTAACAGTGCCCTCACACCGGCCTTAATCCTACCCACTACAGATTCAACCCTTCCGTTTCCTTTCGGGTCACCGGGTGTCGAGTAAGTGGGGTGTATATCTCTAGAAGCGCACCAGGACCTAAACTGTCGATTCGTGAATTCGCGCCCCCCGTCACTATGAGTGCGACGAACCTCCAGGTTCAGCAGCCTGATCCTTGCATAAATCCTCTGTATCCCCCTAAGAACTTCGGAGGCCTTCTTCGAGACCAGAGGTTCAGCAAAGGTGAGCTCATGAAGCTCAACAGGATCCTTGAGGTCTTGAGCGATGGTTCGCCACTTCTCATCTTGTTCTTCACACAATCTCTTGTACTCTTCTTCACTAAGTGGTTCTTCTTCTCCCTCACATTCCTTCTCACTCTCGTCCTCAATAACCCATTCTCCTATACCCCCGGCCTCCTTCGAAGCATCATCCTCCTCTCTGTCTTCACTTCCCTCTCCTTCTCTCAACCCCTCTTTTTCTTCTTTTTTATCCTCAGGTTGGAGTGGCAATGGATTGCCATCCCTGAACACCGGGACTCCCAAAGTTGCTACGAGGATGTGCCTCGCAGGAGCACTCAGGGCATGATCCCGCCCAGGAATCCATGGACCAATCAAATCGAGGTTGAGGCACAAAGCGTTGGAGTGTTGGTACTTCTGTCGTATATGTCTGGGCCCTCGCATGGCTGCCTGCAAGCAGACCTTACAGTCTTTTCTGAAGATAATGTGATCTTTCTCACAATGTTCGCGAAACTCGATTTCCTCCTTGGTAAGTGCCTTAAGAGCAGCCTGGTCCTCACTCAATCTCTCGTCTCTGTCTCTGACTGTCTCTTTTTTCCACACCTGAATCGCATGACCTACCGCATGAAGCACAGAGGGTTGCCACTGCGCGCTCGGATCACCCTGTATCTCACGCCATTCGGTCCTAGCATGCAACGTTGTGTACAGCACCCAGCTGTTGGTGAGGATGGCCTTGGCAGCTCGTCTACCTCTATGGTGATCACTACATACCTCATAAGAAGCACGATACCACCCCAGGTGTTCAGCGTCAAGCTCCGGCCAATGCCACCAACCACAACTCACCTGCTCTGGCTCACCCGGACCTGAAACAACCCGTCCAGTACCCTCAGGATGCTGAATGGCTACCATACAACCCTCGGCGCGTGCCTCATGAGCCAAGTGATGAAGAGTAAGGGTTCGCAGAAGCATGACCGTTTGGTCATCAGCCCATTCTTGCTCTGCTTGTGAATTCCCCAATAGACCGAAGCGCTGGTCACGCGTTGGCCCACGAAGACGCTTGAAATCCTTCTCAACGTCACTCCAGACTGGCTTGAATGTGTTACTGGGCGGACAAGCCACCACAGCACTCACCTTACCAGACGAGCACAAGGAGGCCAGCCAGCTGTAGGTCTTCTCATCAAGGATGTCTCGCTTGACTCTCTCATCAACTCTCAGAATCACCGTCTTACTTCCCAGCCCCTCAACCTGAAGCCCCTTTTCACTCCCAGAGAACAGGTGAAGAACCACAGTATCAGCCCTTTCCACAGCACGTCGATGTCGCCTGTTCATGGACATAAACGCATGAGAGCCCTCAGGAGCACTGTCACACCTCGCAGGAAGTGCCCTTCTCAGCAGATGCTCAGGCCAGTCCCTGAACTGACCCCTCAGCCACTCCAAAACCTCCTTCTCGCTACCCCAAGCACAGTCAGCAAAGTCCACCGAATCTGATCTCGCGCCTAAGTTCAAGGCTCGCAGGGCCAATGCTTGCTGCATACGATCGCTCTGAAAAGTCTCAAGCTCCTCAATCAGCTCAAGACAAAGGAACTCATCCACTACAGGACAATTTCCCTCCAGGTTTGTATTGAGCAGCCCCCTCACCGGGTGCGTAACCCGGCACCTCCCGGCTACCCAATCTACCCGACAACCAAGCCTCTCAACAAGCAAACCCAATGGACAGATTGGTGTGATACTCTCTCGAGTCAAGATCGTGCCTAAAGGTGTGGCCCTAAGGTCTTGCTTGCCGACTGCCATTTCGACCGTGATTGGTCGAGCACTGTTCCATTCATCCTCAGCAGCTGTTCTCAAAGGATGCGTAGCACCTCCATCAAGCAACCCCTTCCTAGGAGCATTCACCCGTCTAACACTCACCTGTGGCACAACTGCCCTCTCTCTCTCTCCGTCGTGCTCTCTCTCTTCAGCTCTCTCTCCATCACTCAAACCAGACATGTCCGCGGCTTGAAATGCAGCCAGGCGTAAGGATTTGAGAAGCTTATGGGCCTCATCAAGGACCTGCGCCTGAGCCTCAGCTACCGCAGTAGTTCCCTGAGTTCCCTGTCGTGATGCACTAGCACTAGACGTGGACACTGCAGCAGCTTTCACAGGTGTAGTTTCAGGCTTCGACGGCGCGGCAGTCAGCCGATCAGCCCCAGAGGTGGCAGCAGCATTTGCATTTGAAGAAGAATCCGCGGACTCCCCCAAGGGCTGTTTGCCCTTCCCTTTACCCTTTGGTCGGCTACAGTCCTGCTGCCTGTGCTGATCCGAACCGCAATTGTAACACCGTCCCTGACCCTTGGCCGCATTGAAGTCGTGGTAATGCGAACAATCCCGACCCTTACAGCAACCCTTGCTCGTCAGGTAAAAACTGCACGGAGACTTGTTGGGTCCTCAGCCTCCTCCCGCCTTGGGAGCTGTCTCCCCTTTTTCCCCCTTCTTGCCTTCTCCTTTTGCTCCTTTTCCCCCTTTGTCTCCCTTGTCCCCAGTGTGTGCAGCACCATCCTTGCCCCCGTTACCCTGATCAGTGTCCATGCGGGCAACCTTAGGCGGCCCCGAAGTAGCTTCCTGGCCTGACACAGAAACTTGTTCCCACTCTGACTGCAGCACACGCATGTACTCAATCACTGACACCATGCTGGGATGATGATCAATCTGAAGTTGGTTACGGGCTACCGACAGTCTGAAAGCCACCTGAGCATTTGCTGCCTTGCGCGACAATGAATCCACCAGAGAGTCCACCCCTCTTAAGATCAGAGCCGGATCAGGCACCATCACTCCCATACTCACCGCTCTCGCATGGCATCTACTCCAAGCCCTCAAAGCATTCACGACATCTGATGCTGACTTGGCATGCCCAAGGTTCGTGAGTTCAGTGAGTACCTGAGCCCTCTCTTGCAGACCCCCTGGAGCATACACCTTCAAGATCTGAAACAACAGCCCCACGCAGTGCAACGACCGCGTTGCCAGCAACTCATCCCGAATCGCCTGAGGCACAGCCGACTGAAGCATTCCATATGCCCTGCTCTCCAATCTCCGAAGTTTCACGTGTGTGAGCTCAACACTCAACCTCGGCTGAATCATGCCCTTCTGAATAGCAGGAGCCCTGGACCACTGCCTATACAGGGCCTGAGCCTCCCACTCAACACGAGACCACCACAACTGGGACCACTCGCTCAAATCACAAAGCAACGGACGTATCTGAGCCAGCCAATCCCCAGCTCGCGTAGCCGGAGAGGGCAGATGTACCCCTTCCAACGTCGGAAGATTCCAGAACGTCCGATCACCAGGATTAAATGGGTCTCGGCCAGGTGGGAACGGAAGGTTCAGCACATCCTGTCCCTCCCAAGGGTCTCTCCCTAAATCATCACCTTCACCATGTCGCACCTCATCACCCCATTGAATCCCTCCCAGGGCCACAGCGGCATCTCGGTCCGAGGTAACACCAAACCCCTGACGATTACCCGACGGATTTCTCAATGAGCTAGGCATCACAGGACCCCTTTCAAACCAAGATCGATCCCCCAAAGACTCCGAAGCAGTTCTAGTACCGAGAGGTCCTACCGCACTCTCTGAGTCACTCATGTTGAACATGCGTGATAGTGAAGCTGACTGAGGAAACGATGGAGTACCGCTGAAAGCTCCTTGCTCGGTGATCGTCAAAGCAGGGGGAGGTCTCGGAGGCACAGGAGTTCCTTGTGGCGTTGTGTTCACTCGCTGCTCAAGCCTGGGCATTCTATCCTTAGGCGGCTCCGGGGTTCGGTCTCGGGCCGCATAATTTAGGTCCTGCACAGATGGAGGAGATTGCAGTTGACGGGATTCCTCTAGCGCTTGCTTAGCAGCCACATATCCCTCCTCATACCCTTGTTGGAAAACAACTGATTGATCCCCATCCCCGAACCTAATCTCATTCTCAACAGCCCTTGAACCCCAGGCCTGCACCGTCTGAGGCGGCAAAAACCTACCTAATGATTCCGAACCCAGACCCTTTTCTTCATTCACTCCTACACCTAAACCCTGAGTTTCACCCTCGAGGCCTGCTCCCGAGCCAACCGATCTCCATGCCTGTTGGCTGCTTGCCTTCTCCTCCTCGAGCTTGTCAATGCGCTGTCTCAAGCCAGTATTCTGTTCACTCAGTTCGGCATTCTGCTTCATGATGGTTTCCATGAGATCTTTCATTTCAGTCAGAATTCTCCTTTCCCCAGGTCGAAGTCCTGGAGCCTGTTGGTTCTCAACTGAAGCCGAAGAAGCCGAAGTAGCACCCTGTATCCCAGAACCCACATGTGAAGGTCCAAAGCTAACTGGGCTACTCTTCGGAACCGGCAGAGCCGTCTCCTCCAACTGTCTCATCTCCGTAGAATCACTAGCAGTCTCATCCAAATGCGCAGGTCTGGCCGCAGCTAGTCTAGCCTCATCTTGAATCTTCTGAGACCAGAATGGATTCATCTGCACACCCAGAGTTTCCGCAGCACCAGCAGTAATCTCCGATACTGATTCTGTCACGTGTCCCTCGGCAGCTCCCTCCGCTCCATCGCCAATCTGCAATGGCCCTGCTTCAAGTTCCACCTCTCTCGACACATCTCTAACAACTTCAGCGCCTTCGATACTTACTACTAACTGCTGCTGTCCAGGCTCTGCAATTGATTCTTCACTTCCTTGACCCTTTCCAGCTCGTCGTCGCAAGATTGGATCCATGGCTCTAACACTCTAACCCCTCAAAGCGTTGGGCTCATGACCTCTGAAAGAGATCAAGAGCAACACTGCCCAGCGCGCCTCTGCACTGGTTTCTTCTCGAACAAAAAAGGCCTGTCGTTGGTCGCGAATCCTGTAATCACTTGGATAGTGCTGAATGAGCGGAGGAGCTTGACAATTCGCATAGGGATCAGGGTTTGGAACTTTGGGCTTAGGGTTTAGGGTTCGGTGGTTAGGGCGTAGGGTTTAGGGGTTAGGGTGTAGGGTTTAGGGGTTAACGTGTAGGGTTAAGTGAATAAGGGGCTAGGGTTTAGGGTTTGGGGTTAGGGTTTGGTTTTGGGGTTAGGGTTTGGTTTTGGGCTTAGGGTTTTTTTAGGGCTTAGAGCTGTTATGATTGGTTTAGGATTTGAGGGTTTAGGGCTTAGAGTTTGTGGGCACGTGCGTTCGAGGATTCGAGATATAGGTTTGTATGGTTTGAGCTTCTGAGATTCATGGGTTCGGATAAATTTGGGTTGTGAAGGCCTTGTGTTTTGGGCCCGGGATTTGAGGTTTACACTTGAGGCCTCAGCTCCTCTACGGTCGAACGGATGAGGGTCTCACCAAAAACAGTTGTACTTGGAGGTTCATGGTTTGTTATAGGTTGAGTTATAGGTAGGGCAACTATACTTATAACCCATATTAATTGACTTAAAACCCGTATTAAGGGATTTAGAACCCACTTATAACTACCCGTGAACCTCCAAGTGATGCACGGTTCAGACATCAAGCTCCTAGGGTCGGACCATGAGGGCGAATCATGTGGGAGGAGCGCGTGAAACAGGATGCATACTTGGAGGTTCATGGGTAGTTGTAAGTGGCGTTATAAGTCCCTCAACAGTATGGGTTGTAACTATACTTACTTTTCTTATGACTCAAGCTACAACTACCCATGAACCTCCAAGTAGGAATGAGTCGCACGCTTGGCTTTCTGAGGGGTCTGAAGTGCGGTTCTCGATTTTACTTTGCAGCGGGCGTGCTGCAAGTGACTGACCACATGCGAGCTCGAGGTGGGAGTCCAGGTGAAAGTGAAATGGCCGGAGGGCCCTTGTATACTGCATTGAACCCTCCGAGACACTAAACTGTCAACCCAAAAGCTTTTGCGGACCTAAACTCAATACTATATTTTGGAGGCTTTCGCACTCGGAAGGTTCAGAGGAAGATAGCGTGGTAGAGAGTAACATGTAGGATCCTCACAAAACAAGCATCCCTTCAACAAGGTAACCCGTGTGCCCAATATGATGAAACCGCTTTTCTTCAGGACGTCGACGCCCTGCGCTCGCGCCACTGCATCCACCAGCTGCACCCTGCTTGCACACAGAATCGGCATTTCTTCTTTCGATGCCCTCCCCCTACACCAGAATAAGCGAGTCAGGGCTCAGTGTGGCCTAGGGATTTCAGGGTTGATGAACGGTTGGTCGGCCTTTTAGGGCTTTTCTCTCGGAGGTGAAGCAAAAATTTGGAAGCCGCAATCTCGACTCTTTCAACATTACTTGAAGTTCCATGGGTAGTTATAAGTGGGGTTATAAGTCCCCTAACATGGGTTATAATTATAGTCACCCTATTTATAACTCCACTGATTAAAGGGGCATGAACCTCCAAGTAGGCCTAAACCCTATACCCTTATAGAATCCCTATAGATCTCTTTAAAGGGGCCCGTAAGGGAACCCTTATATCTACCCAAGTACACCCGAACAGACGCTAGCAGGGCACCAAGAGACAGAAGACCTTCGCGAGGCTTCTGCGGCCACTCCTTCGAGGAGTCCGCTGCTCAGGAAGAGCCTGTGAAGTGGTGGCTTTGAGGCTTAGGGACCAGGGCCGCCATATACCTTAAACCCCAAAACCGAAACCTTACATCCTAAACCCTGATACTCAAGGTTCAGGGTTGAAGGTTTCGGGTTTATGGTCTAAGTAAAGGTTTATGGCGTTTCCATGCGCTCTGAAGGTGTTTGTTGGGGAGGGAAGGCCTCTGCACTTCTGAACCCTCCGGAAAGCTAGATCGCTTGTGAAGCCCCTTCCCTAGCATTTCTGTGATATGCCCGAAACCTTATGCTAACCGGAAGCCTCAGAGCCCCTAAACCCACAAAGCCCCAGAGCCGCAATGCCCTAAGCCCAAAACCCGAGGATCGTAAACCCTAAACCCTAAACCCTGAACCCTATAACGCAAAAACCGTAAACCCTAAACCCTAAAACTCTAAGACCCTAAACCCTAAACCCTAAAACCTTAAAACCTGCAGTTACGAAAAGGGGCTTTAAAAAAAAACCTTAAAACCCTTAAACCCTAAACTCTTAGCACCCATGGAAAGTCGAGGCACCGGCTGAACGAGTCCAGCAAGGGCTCTCCGAAGCTCAGGTCGGGATCCGTCTGTGTAGGGGCTTTGGGGTTTAGGGTTTCGGTAAAGCTTAAGATTTGCAGATCCGGAGTTTGGAGTTTGGGTTTTAAGGGCTTTTAGGATTTTAGGGTTTGGGGTTTAGGGTCAGGGGTTTTGATGCTTAGGGTTTGATAAGGGTGTGGGGTTGAATCTCAAGTTCTCCACCATGGAGTCTCAATGTCGGGAGGGGGTTGTCAGAGCAAAAGAACGGATATACGGATATGCTAGGTATCGTTTCGGGATAAGTGTAATTCTTGAATATAGAGCTCCAATTAGTATTGTTATTCTTTTTGTTGTTATTACTGCTATTAGTATTTTTATTGTTATATATATATATTTTTTTTGTTGTTGTATTTTACTTTTTGTTGCTATTAACATAATCCCTGTTGCTGATTTTTCGGACGTTCCTTAGAGGTGCTTGAGACTACAGCGATCGGAGCTTCAGGGCTCGGGGTGTCCGGTCCGAAACCCTGTTTAGGGTTTAGGGGGTTTAGGGTTCAGGGTTTAGGGGGTCTGAGGTTTAGGGGGTTTAGTTTAGGGTTTAGTTTAGGGTTTAGGGTTTAGGGTTTAGGTTGGGTACGGCCCCGACTCAGGAATAGTTGAATTATATTCATAATAAGAATGTATCAGGACCTTCATAGTAGCCCTGTTATAGACTCTTACTGTATGGGGGCAGTACCTGAGGTTTAGGGTTCCTAGGTGCAAGGGAGCTTCAAGGCTCTTGGGGCCCCGGGATCCTTCTGCTTCTTGCGTGCGCGTGCAGGGTTCAGGATTTAAGGTTGAGGGTTGAAGGTTTAGGGTTGAAGGTTTAGGGTTTAAGGTTTAGGATTTAAGGTTTAGGGTTTAAGGTTTAGGATTTAAGGTTCAGGGTTGAAGGTTTAGGGTTTAGGGTACCACCGTTGTGGTGACATGCATCGAAACGTCGTAAGCTACTCGCGAGCGCATGAAATGTGTAATGGGGGGGAGGGATGTTTCGTTGGCAGTGCACATGTCGAGATCGCAGGAGCTCGTGGTGTAGCAGCTTCACGGATTTGACGCGGAACCTCATGATGCCTCGGAAAGCATATCGTTTCCATATTCCCTTTAGCCACCAGAGAGATTTTATAGCAATATATGAAATATTCCACCCAAACCCCATTCTAACTTTTAAGTCCCCGCTTAAGAAGACAAAAAGATACCCAAAACCCTATTCTAACTGCCCAATCTTAGCTTGCTGTAGAGGAGCCTCGACCCCTACCCCTGAGGCCCTAAACCCTGAAACCTTAGCCCGTAGACCCCTAAACCCAAAACCCCAATGCCCCTTTAAACAGGAATATAGCTTAAATCATAATATGAAGCCCTAAATAATTTAACCCATCTTCCTTCGTTAAGGGGTATTGGGCTCTCTCTGTACCTCTGGAGCCGAAACCCAAACCTTCTTGTGTTTGGGCTCATGAGAGTTGAGCCCTTGCAAGCAGCAGCAAGACCCACGTAGCACGCTGATGGCAGTTTGCAGTTTGGAACATGCAGAACGAGACGTCCAAGAGTAACACCTGCATGTGACAGAACTTGGGGGGTTTAGGGCTTTAGGGTTCGGGGCTTCGGGTTTAGGGTTTAGGCTTCAGGCGTTTCCATCTTGGTGTTTGTTTGCTTTCCACTCTGCGCGAAAAAACGTTCCCGGCCATGGATGCCGGCGGCTTTCATCAGGAGTTTTCCGAGGCCGGGGGGGGGGGGGGGGTTTGGGGTTTGAGGGTTTAGGGTTTATGGTTTCGGGTTTTTTTCTGGGGGGTTCTTCTGGTTTAGGGTTTAGGGTTCTGAGGACACTCAGGGTTCTTAACTTTTTTACTTTTGTTCTGACTGTTAGGATTTGTTGTGGAGGGTTCAGGATTTACATTCCTATGTCCTTGGAGATGCTAGCTGTAGAGGGTTTTTGAAAATTGGGATAGAGTTTCGGGGTATGTTATATCCGTAGCGCCTCGAGTACTCCAGCAATCTTCGAGGCGTCTTTGCAAGATTCTGCTTTAGGGTTTAGGGGTTTAGGGTTGTGAAATTTCCCTGTCTTGAAGTGCCGTGTTGACATGTCCTCATGCGAGCGTAGTCTTTTGAGTTAGACCTGAACGCACCCTGTACGACAGACGTCTTGGGCTCAGACCAAAAAGTGCGCTCGTAGTGTGGTTGGACACTCACTAATCCAGTTCCTGCTTCAAACTGGTAGCGGAGCTGTGAGGACAACCACTAGTGTTTCACCCCCGTAGAGCCTGTGGTCCGGGGTCCGTTGGGTAGAGTAGTGATAGTCGCGGCGCAAAGGCCCCTTCTATCTGAAGCCATGAGCGTGGCAGGTTTGCGTTACCAGCCCAATCTCTGGTCACAGAACCTGAGCCCTGCAGAAACGAAAAGCGGTTCGTACATATACGACGGTACGGCTGCTGGCTTCCACGATTGGTGCTTCCGGACACAGATCCGCGTGCTGCAACATAAGGAGAAGCAGCGGCGCGAAGCTCTTAAGGACCTGCGATTTGCCGAGTCGGCAAGGGCCAAGAGCGAGTCACCAAGGAAGTGGCGTGGCAGGGCAAGTCAGGGGACCAGTGCATCGCCCACAGATGGTGATGGAAGCAG